GTTGTTACTACATAACTATGAAAATAACACGGCGCAACATCCTACAAGGCCGGTCACGGTAGCCGAGCGGTCTAAGGCATGTACTGTGTTCGCTCGCTTGGAAACCGGGACCGTAGGTTCGAATCCCACTCAGGGCATGGATGTTTAGTTTGTGTGTTTTTTTCTGTGTTTGTGTACAGGTAGAGGCCTTGCGACGAGCTGATCACCCGCCCAAGGAATCCTACCGAATGTGTAAGATCTAGAAAAACCGAAGTGAACGGAGAAGTTCATGGAGGTAGGCCTAGGCCCACTGGGGCTGTAGTGCCAAGGAAAAAAAAAATCCTAGAAGACAGCAATGTTGGCAGTAATTAAATCTGCCCTCGAACATACCACTGCTGTCGGCTGGACATGCACCCGAGAACGGCAAGGTGAGCCGAGCATTTCCGTAACTCTGCCAGAAGTGAAACAGATGCCGGGGCCCCGTCCTCTAATACGCCCAGTTCTACTGTGTAAACAAAATATCCTCAGTAGTCAATTCAGCCTCTTTTAATAACCTGACAACAAACAACTCAGTTCTCACTCTTTGTATAGTAGGTGCGAAGACCGGAATACGTCACCTGTCAGGCGATTAGCCAGTCTAGTGGCAGGCTGCTGTTTCAAATCCCACCACAAATAATGTCTGCACGGGGAAAGTATGTGAGGGGGTGGGAGCTGTGACCTGAAGAGTAGGGGAAGATCATTTTTTGGAATGCGGAGAAATCAGAGGCAACAGACAGGGGCCAGGGAATTCTGGTTTTCTAATTAACTCTGGAAAGGGAAATTTGATGGACTCCACAGCGAGGGGTGTAATTCTGATGAACTTGAAGCCTGACGTTCACTTCAATAACATTTAAAATTTAGGTTCGTTCCATGCAGAAAATACAGATACACGGTGTCTCTATTACACAGACCAGTTGGCTAATGGTGCTTCGCGAAATAACTACTATTATTGCGAGAATCATACGAAATACATAAATACAACCTTTGGGCAAGTCTCCAATTGTTAATGTTAAAGCAGGTGGTACGTATAGTTATAGCTAGATCGCAGGGATGCTGCTGCGAAGAGAGAAACGCAAGAACTAAGCAATTACACACAATAATTTCTTTCCCGAAAAATGGTGGTAGGCGCTTCGACAAGAGCACTGAACGGGGTGGGAGAGGGTGCAAAACCTCAGGTCGATGGGAAAGTGGGCTCACCCGCCCATTCGAGGGCAAGGCGCGACGCTACTGTGCGTACCAAACGGTAATTGCCAGCAAATCTGAGTCTCACAGCAGGACTATGTTCGGGAAAGTGAAGTCGTTTCGGAGGCACGTACTGTCTCCACCTTCATGGTCGAACAGTAAGACAAGAAGCCCCCGGTACCCATTGGATAAGAGGCTTGGTGGGCCCCAGAGCAGGCGTGGACGACGTGGAGAAAGGGAAAATTCTTGAACCTACCGGGACTCGAACCGACCCCTCAGTCGTCCAGCCCGTAGCCAGTCGCTATACCGACTGCGCTATCCCGGCTCCAAAAATGAAAATATTTTTGCAAGTAAATTCCCGTCAAGAAGAGAGGCAACGGACTCAGCCATAAGCTGCGCGTGCCCAGTTTCCTGCGTTCAGGGCCTGCGCCATCTAAATTTCGTAAAATTAACAATGCGACGAAAGGCTTACAACTACCTGACTGGCCCTCACCAGCACAGTGATTCTTGGTTCCGAGTCCCGTGAGACTCATGACAATATTTTACTGTTTTAGGATTCTATGAGCCTTCATCTGGCCTTCTTACAACCCCTCCCCCAAATTACGCGTATTTTGCAATCCCGACGGCAATGAACGGTTGCGACGGACAGGCAAGTGGACATTCCCACACACGCCGCACCATCGTATCTAAGATACCTCTGCAGATATTCGTAATCATAGCTTACCCAATGGTAGTGGTGAGCCCACAGTGACTGCTCTCAATTTCTAAGTCTTCTACATAAGCTGATAGTTATTCAGCTGATCAAGGCACTTTCTGCTCTTATGTAATCCAAAGCTCTGTTTTCAGCCAATTAAATCGATTTCGCATCTTTACATCCCATCTGTAAAAGGTTAACCTTAACATCATCTTCTCGGCAACGTCAGTGTCTCTTAAGTTATTTCTTAAACTCAGGTTTTCCTGTCAAAATTTTGCAAACATTTCTGCAAAACGTGCTACCTTATCCGTCGTAAAGTAATCACACTAGCACGTCGCGACGTTCCTTAGTCTGCTGATCTGCTGCCGTGTCAGCACATTCCGATCAGCTGGCCGGGACACGTGCAAGGATAAAGCTGTCCCATCTTGGCAATCAGATTTTGCAGATGGCAAGAATAGAACCGTAAGCCACTAGCAATAAACGGCAGTGAAAGGTACGCAGTGTCCGCCATAGTACGTACCTCTAGACTGCAGCACCACCCATGGGCAAAGCGAGATTTCACTTCAGCGCCGGGAGCAGACTGACCATTTGCTTAACTTGCATTTAAGCCGTTTCAGATTATTTTTATCGATCGTTCCAAAATATTCGGGATGGAATAGTAACTTTTTAAACAAACAATTTTAATTTGTCCTATTTTTTATTTTTTAAATTGACCCAATCCTTCCAGCCGCACTATGGCCCTGGGGTCGACTCAGCCTCTAACAGAAATGAGTACCAGGAATATTCTTTGGGGTAAAGGGCGGCCGGCGCGTAAGGCTGACAACCTTGCCGCCATCTGTGAGCCGACTCTCTAGACAATATGGGAACCTCAACATCTCACAACCCTATGGACCTCCACGGCCTGTTACAGGGATACCTTTACTTTTACTTACACCTTTATTCAATTTTGATTTTTCCAAATATCAGGCATGAGGCACATGACTGGTTCCCCCCTCCCCCTCGGCGCATATGGCGTCATACCAGCTGCCTGCCGCTGACATTTCAACGGACTTCACGTTAGTGACAGAAGACCAGCCAAACTTCTGTAGCAACTGAAGGAAGATTGTCTGCATAGTGTCACTGTGGCCATTTTCCCACGTAGCGCGACGTGTGATCTAATTCGGGCCATGTCCGACGCTTTCTATCGCTAACACGGCCACAGACTTTCTCACTACAAGCTTATATCGTCACGTACCAGTATCACACATAACGCAGAGTTATTTATGTCGCGCATGTGCACACCCGTATCTAATCCGCCAGTTGTCCTGTAAGGACCTTGAGGAGAAAACATAAATATAAATGAAGAGTATTATTTTATAGCACGTGACGTCGTGTACTCACCGACGTTTCGGGCGAACGTGCTTTGCATGGTAACAGATTTTTACAGCACGTTTCATTGAATTTTTTTTAAGAAAATTGGAAAAGAGCGAAAGACCGAAGCAAACAGTTGCACGTGTAATCCACCTCCTACAATTATGCGTTTACGTGTTATGACGCTGTACACTTGACATCATTCACGAGCTCTGGTGAGTGCGTACCCGGCGTCACCTGATGTCCGTCCATGCGCCCATCAGTAAGCAAAACAGCCCGCACTACATGATCCATTTCGACGAAACTCTGTGTGGTAGACATATGCCACTTCTGTTGCGCTATTTCGATTCTGGCTTTGTATGGCTCACTTCTACGTGTTCCTTTAACTATGAGCTCACACATACACTCTCGGGCCAATGCGATCTGACCAGATAACATACTTTGATGACGCACGCCAAGCCTGCCTGTATTACCATGTAAGTTCGTCTCTAAAACCCACATTAAGTAGGTAATTTCGGCAAATCATATTAACACTTTAAAGACTGAATTTATTCTAAATAATATATAACAAGTCAGTTCGTACCTCACAGGAAACATTACGTTTCCCTTACAAAGCCCAGGAGGCACGCGGTAGCGTAGTTGATTGAGTCCCGATGAGGTCATTGAATTTTTTTCAATTTACCTAATCCTTCCAGCCGCACTATGGCCCTGGGGTAGACTCAGCCTCTAATAGATATGAGTACCAGGAATATTCTTGGGGGTAAAGGGCGGCCGGCGCGTAGGGCTGACAACCTTACCGCCATCTATGAGCCGATTGTCTAGAAAATGTGGGAACCTTAACATCTCACAACCCTATGGGCCTCCACGGCCTGTTACAGGGATACCCTTACTTTTTTTTTTTACTTTTACTACAAAGCCCAACCGATTAATGCTGTTTAGGGAAACAGTCCCTGTTTATTGTGAGAAGCATACGGAACACACAGATACACTCTGTGGGCAGAACGCAGGGATTTAATATGTTAAAACGGTGGTACATATTGTAACCACTGGGCTTTAAACGGCTATGTAAATTAGAGAGAGAAACGTCCTGAACACGAAGCCTTCTGGATACATAAAGTGGACATATTACCATATTCACTGGGCTACTGCGCCACCCGGTATATTCACCACTCATTACACAGTTCGTCACACAGTGCAAACTGCTGCGGTGGGAGCAAGGCCAGCAGAATTTAATGCAAGGTCGAAATCTGACGAGAAAGCAGCGTGCGCAGATAAAGACAAGCACGAACAGAACGAAGATACATCACACCCCGTACATGCACACTTCGTGCAGCATATGCAACACTAAGGGAAGCCAGACAATTTTTTCGCTTAGTGGGGGGTTGAGTCCAACTGGGTCCACTCGGCACGGCGGCCATTAATTGACCTATTGTAGCCTGCCCCGGGTGATTATGATGATGGAGAATTTGGTGGAATGAAGATTGGCAGGGGAAAACGAAGTACTCTCACCCGCCGCGGTGGGAAGCCAGCGATTAATCGCTTGGGGTACGGCGCGGCCTTGAAAATTCTCCCCGGCAGGGAATCGAACCCGGGTCTCTCGCGTGACAGGCGGGGGGATACTAACCACTATATTACCGAGAAAGACGAAGCCAGATAATAGTCGGGGACATTTCTTTTGGCCAGCAAAGCTCACCCCATCACCCTGGGCTGCCTCACCCCCTAAGCCAACTAAGTGAAATGACGACGTTCCCCGTACCTGGGGGCAGGTGCATCGTGTTCCCAGTACGCCGCTTCCTGATGCCATACGTGTGCACGGGGACGATCAGTTTGGGGCGAGGTATCGCGAACTCTTCCTCCGGGGGCAAGTCTGCCGAGGATGCCGAGGACCGACGCTGACGCATTCTGGCGTCGCGGACAGGGAGATTCTGGTAGAGGCGTGGGGGGAAAGTCTCCGGGTATGCCCGCAGCTCGTGGGGGTGGAACTTCCGCGTCCAGCCGATGCCCCTCCTGTGCTCCCAGAACTCGCCCTGCGGCTGCTGGGACCTGGGCCTCCTCATATCTTCAGCTTCCCACCTCGCGCTCTCAGGGTCTATGGTCCTGAGGGATTTGGACCTCTTGAGCAGGCACTTATCCCGACATTCCTGCCAGCTCGCCTCGTACAGCAGTGCCATCATGCGTCGCGCGCTGTCACTGTCCGGGTGCAACTCTCCCTCCACAACGGCGCGCCCGGGGTAGCGGCGCATCCGCATCCTGGTTTTAGCTGCTCCCCGTCATTTCACAGCACAATAAACAGTTCCCAACTGCGCCCCGCCGCCATTTCACAACACAATTACCAGCTTCTGGTTGCCCCCCCTTCATTTCACAGCACAACTCTATCTGCTCCCCTGTGACTTCACACCACAACTGTATCTATCTGCCCCGCGGTCATTTTACCACACAAATGTGTCTCCCTTTTGGTCACTTTACTGATTGTATGCCCCTTGGTCACTTACCACACAAATGTGTCTGCCCCCTTGGTCACTTTACCAAAGAAGTGTATGCCCCCCTGGTCACTTTACCAAAACACTATGTCTGCCCGTTGGTCACTTTACCACACAAATGTGTCAGCCCCCTTGGTCACTTTACCACACAACTGTATGCCCCCGTGGCCACTTTACCGTACAACCGTGTCTGCAACCCTGGCCACTTTACCGCACAACTGTCTGCAAACCTGGCCACTTTACCGTACAACTGTGTCTGCAACCCTGGCCACTTTACCGCACAACCGTGTCTACAACCCTGGTCACTTTATCGTAAAACTGTGTCTGCAACCCTGGCCACTTTACCACACAACCGCGTCTGTAACCCTGGCCACTTTACCGCACAACTGTGTCTGCAAACCTGGTCACTTTACCGTACAAGTGTGTCTGCAAACCTGGTCACTTTACCGCAGAACTGTGTCTGCAAACCTGGTCACTTCACCACACAACTGTATGCCCCCTTGGCCACTTTACCACACAACTGTATGACGCTGTGGTCACTTTATCGTACAACTGTGTCTGCAACCCTGGCCACTTTGCCGTAGAATTGTGTCTGCAAACCTGACCACTTTACCACACAAATGTGTCAGCCCCCTTGGTCACTTTACCACACAACTGTATGCCTCCGTGGCCACTTTACCGTACAACTGTGTCTGCAAACCTGGCCACTTTACCACACAACCGTGCCACTCCGCCACTCACGTCCCACTCTGTTCCGTTCCGCGACAGAACTGAGGCAGTGAACAAGACAAGAACGGCAGGCGGGTGGGACGCGGCGTGGAGGGGACGAATATAAATAGTGAAGCAAGAAACCACAACTGCAGGGCCGGGGTTCGTGTCCTGCAGCAGAATGTTCGTCCCTCACAATAATTATGAAATCAACTGTCTGGCTTCTTAAAAAGTCACACAGCCTTCGTACATGATCAGAGTGTCCGCGTTCCAGCAGCGCAGTCGTGCCCACAAGCAGCACGGCGTCAAGCACTCAGCTGGAGCACCAGTTTCTTCACTATGTACACACTCTCCAGGGGACTGCGTAACGGGCTTCGCTGACGCTTAAACGACGCTGTATCAACTGCACCACCGAACAGAGAAAGGCCATGTTGAATGGGGTTTCCTTCATTTTCCTCAGGCGAACGCCGGAACAACGTCATCAAACAGGATACGATCGTCTCCTTCCAAATTCTTATCTAATCATCATGATTGTCCTCCAATCTCATAATCTCTGCAGCGTCGTTAAACAGACAAAGCACGAACCAGAAAAGTGGTCGTAGCCTCTTCGGAAGAAATGTACCTGGATGGCTATGTTGGTTTTTTAACGACGCTTTCGGTATCGAGCCTATGTTGTGTCAGCAGCAGAATGACTGGTGAAATGTAAAGGCGCATTCGTTGCCCTGTCGAGGCACGATACCGCCACATGCCTAGAGTCGAACCGAGTACCTCCTGAGTACAAGTCTAGAGCGTTACCTCTGGGCCAGTGTTTTCAAAACGGTGATCTGCGGTACCCTAGGGTTCCGAAAATACGAGTTCCGCAAGAAAATTCCATTATAATATAAAAAATTATCACTTATGACTATCATTATTATATGCAGAAAGCCGGAAGGACGCAGGTTCGACTCCCGATGTCACTGCAATTAATCCTTCCAGCTGCACTATGTCCCTGGGATCGAAAGAGTCTATCAGAAATGAGTACCAGATCTATTCCTGGGGGTAAATGGCGGCCGGTGAGTGAGGCTGACAACCTTACCGCCATTTGTGAGCCGACTGTCTAGATAATGTAGGAGCCTCGACGTCTTACAAGCCTATGGGCCTCCACGGCCTGTTACAGGGATAACTTTACTTTGTTATGTTGTTATAAACACTTAAAATAATCTTAATTTTGGAGTTTATTTACATCAGAAATGACATTTGCAAAGGAAGAAATAAATAAATTAAAGTGAATTTTTGACTCAGGGGCAAAAGTCTTTAGCAAGACATGCAATTCGTCGGCTGACACCCTTCGCCAGCATATACTTGTGAGAAACCGAATTCTCGAATCATGCACCAACAGAAACAAAATTCAGAAACATAGCGAATGAGGCGACAGATTTAAGAATTCAGCTTTCTAAGATATTGCGATATTCTGTTCTACTGCACAGATCTGACACAGCGTTTTGCTTTTATGCCGTCTACATGCAACTTCGGTTAATATTCACTCGTTTCTAAATTTCACAAACATAAGAACTGAAGAAAACAGTCTTCTGGGATGTGGCGCCGTGTATTAACCGACGTTTCGGAGGAACGTATCGCCTCCAGCTTCAGGGTAGAAGAAAAAAGAAGAAAATCCGCGAGCGAAGAACCAGCGTGAGCAGGGGCTAATAGACTAATGTCGAGAATAAGCCCAGCTTACATAAGAATAATTTGTGACGAAAAAAAAGAAAAATCTATCTTCACAATGAAATTTGCAAATATGTGGCATTTTATGTTTCCAGGTTCACTTTTCCTATATACGAAATGTGATTTGTGCTTATAAATATGCGGCGCTAAGAAGTATGGCGCTCTCAAACTCCTGTTCTACAGTTATTTATCATTACTCTTACTTATTTCTGGTCTGGGTATTTTGTTAAGGTTCCGTAAAAATATTCAAAGTGCAAAGGGATCCACAGATACACTGAACTTCCGTTCTGAGCGTTCAACAAACATCTCACTGAGGCCTATTGGGCCTACCGCGGGCTCCCCGTAAGGAGGTCACTGCAACGCGGACTTTCTACTGGCGAGTGCAAGGGAGAAACTTGTGACGCGATGTCCTGTGACGTCACTTCCTGCTCTTCCAAGGCAACGATGTTGCCACTTCATCGGCCCTCTAACTTCAACGCGGGGGCATTTCACGGAATTGGTCCAGTGATTCAGCGTTCTTTCCTCGGAAACTACTCGACGGATGTAGCTTAAATTTGGCATTTCAGAAAGTTGTAGAATGAATTTAACTGTAATCCGTAGGCATCCAAAATAACCTTGAATTTTATATGACGTGCAAATCCGTTCTTTTTCTCAAGAATACGTCATCACACAAAAACTGACACAAGACATGCAACAGACGCCGCAGTGAAGAACACATCTGTCGTCAGGAAAGGCATTCAAAATGGCAAACGCTTGGTGAAACAGAAAAAAAAAAAGCGGATTTGCGAGACGTAATGTTCTCACGGCTAGCGCAGACTGTAGTTAATGGCCGACGTTGCGGAGGAACCCACTGTCTCCATCTTCAGTATAGTTCAGCTATCTAAAACACTGCCAGTTTTAAGGCAGAGTACTGGGTATAAACATGTGTACGAAACATTTTCCATTCTAATGTTTCGTACACTTAGCAACCCGCTCGACACGCTCGTGCAGTCTACATTGGCGGGTTCTCGTGCTGTTACACCAGAACGGACGGAGGCATGCGCAGGCGAGAAGAGTCGCGCTTGTGCAGCTCCTAGTCGCGAACGCGATTGGCTGCAAGCCTCCAAGTCTGACCGGTAATCACATCCCGGAGAGGACTGCCTTTTTGTATATGACGCCGTGTAGCATGATACGTCACCAACTCTTCTACCCCGAGAGGCAGCAGATCATCTGAAACGCTGGTAACGATCTACCACACTACACGGCGTCACACTTCAGAATACAGTAACCTTCTTATGCCCCACAGTGTGCGTGAAATCTAGCACAAATCCCCGGTAGGAGCTGAACTGTCTTCATGGAGATTAGTAACGAGTGTCACGCTAGGGTCGCATTACCCCTTATGAGCATGAGTACGTAATCAGTGTAGGATTGTGACAAATTATTCTAGTTCAACAGGAACTGAAGATGTTACTTAAGTGGTCGAAAGCTCTTTCACGGTGGCAGGCAGGCCAAGTCTAGGAGAATATGTGGACTACTTTAACTGGCGCAGCAGACCACTAGGACCGCGCGGTCTCCTCTCGCCGTACCGGATGTCTTGATGAAGTGTCATTAGGTCACCGCCAAACAGGGTGTTCATCCGCTCCGGTTACACAGAGCGGCTCTCTCGGGCTCCTCCCCGCCACATTCACCGGTAATAATGTAATTACACCCTTTGCAGCACAGTGGTAACTATACGCACCACCTGCTTTAAAGTTAAAAAAAAAAACTCTACGTTTTGTCCGCACAGTGTATTTACATACTACAAAGGGTTCTAGCTCCTGATATCCGTGAAAATCAGCCGACGTTTCAGAGCTCTGTTTGCTACCTGCTTCTGATTTGCTTTCTTCTCGAATGTACAGACATTCCGATGCGTATCCTAACCTGAACACCGGTCACGAGAGGAAGCTACCAGTCGCTCAGCTAGGCAACAAATTACCTGTGTCTTATGCACACCTAATGTTCATTATCGTGTTTCCAACAGTCCACCACTGGGCCGTATATAGATAAATGTAATCCACACCTTTACAATCTATTTCTTCAAGACCCATTTTAATATTATCATCCCGTCTACGTCTGGGTATCAATATCGGTCGCTTCACTCCGGATTTTGTGACAACAATTATGCATGCACGTCTAATCTCTTCCACGCATGCTACATGCCCCGCCCAACTTGATATTTTATTTCATGATTCTGATATTTGGTGATTCTTTCCATACACTTCCCCCTCTCAGGTCGAAACATTCCCCTGGGCTCCCTGTTGTCAGACACCCTCAGTGAGACGCAGCAAGTCACAGTTTTCTGTTTTCGTCTTCCTGCGCTCACACGGCAGATGTGAAAACAAAAGGTTCTGAAGAGAATGACAATAAGTGGTCCCTGAATTCCATTCGCTGTTGAGTGGCGTCGCAAATATAAAATCCCTCTGTTCACGTTTCAATACGTATTGAGAAGTTGAGGTAGAGCTCCATGAACTTTTAACTTCGGCACTGGATACAGATGAGTGGCCACTTTCCTACTCTGGCTGGTTTATCCCAGAAGGAATACTTCTCGTAACTGGAGATGAGACCCCAGGGACGATCTGGATGCTATATTGAAAAAAAAAATCTATCCTTGTGGGGAAGCGAAACCCATTCGCCCGGCTGCAATGAGATACGACGGGCAGGCCTGACAAGCCGTCAGTCCCCACCTGCTGCATCTTGTACATGAATCAGAGTTGCAAGCAGTGGCGGATGAAGGTAGGCATAGGGAAGAGCACCGAACACGCGGGGATCGTGCATTACGACGTCGGGTCCGTTCCACTTCGGTAACCCACTTTTGGCGTGGCCTTAAAGTCTACTAACTGTGACAGAAATGTCACAATTTCGACCTTGTGTGATTACATAGGTTATATACATCGGATCGTAGGGCTTACCTTGAGGGCACAATGTAGGCCCTTCAGTCAGAGTTGCAAATTGTGCCCCTTTCAAGCACACTGGTAACTGTACGTACCACCCACTTTAAGATACAGGAATTCTGCATTCAGCTCAGACAGTGTATTTCTTTATCTCGCAGGAATGTCAGAATAAACGGCGATTATTTTCATAAACAGTATTAACCAACTGGTCTTTGTAGTAGAGACGTAGAGAGTTTCCTGTGGGACAGGAGTCCTCTCTTTAGAAGTTGCCTGAGGGCGTGCTTCCTCCACAGGCTTCTCGCGGTGTCGTCGCGTGTTACTGATGTTGGCCTACAGCATGAAGATACGAATTTACCTAATGTCACATCTCTTCAGGTGGTCATTGCTGTCGTCTGGCGCCTGACACCGTGAGGTGTGGAAGCCAGGCGTACTGTCTCCGGGT